CACCGAACGCTATGCCACCGTGGCAACTTACATAACGATCCCAACGAACATTCCTTTGAGAATGTTTCTGATACCATCCCTGTGCATTCCACTGTTTCGGCGTGTATGTGAACACATTTGGGACTAACAGGGTTTACTAGAATCCCACCACTCCACCACAGAGTCACCGCAGTAGACGTTAGATGAGCGCTGTCGCTCCGAGGCACTTGTTTTGGGTTTGCATCTTTAAACACTACATTGAATAGTACAGGTTTTGTTTAGTTGGTGAATGTTTTAGATACCAGGGTGGCAACCCATTTTCAAGGCATACTTTCACTATTACTCAACTTGCATACGGCACATTGATTAGTGCACGTGTGAAATTGACAAAACAAGTCGAATCCTGTAATGTTGGATGTTACAGATAGTCAAGAGAAGTCCACTGTGATCATACAAACATATTGAGTACTTTCATTTCATAATAAATTTAAGTAATGCACCTGTTAGCAAAATCTACGACAACTAATCCAGCTGTCTGTGTCAAGCTGAATTAAGTTGCTTTGGCCTGTCACCAGATGGCAGTAAACCAACCTATGTGACAAACCTGTTATGTTATTGTTGTTGCAGATTTGTCAGATGGAGGTGCGGTACATTTTGCTGAGACAGTTGTACAACTAAAGAAACAGTAGGCATATATTATATTGTCTGGTAATAATGCATTCTTATAATTGGCAATTATTTCAAACATTCTGGGATCCAAGAGTGTTGAGCCTGGATAGCCTAAGCCTAGCTACTACTAATCAAAAGTAAAAGCTATCTCACAGTGGACTTATCCACCTGGCATGATCGCTCTGGATAGATCACTTCTTCAATTGATATATTTTGGGTGTAATTTTCACAAATCCGCTCATCTGTCATAAATCTTAAAGGGATAGTAAACTCTAGGATTTTACTGCATACAACTGTACTTACTATATAACAAATCGTCTATATCCACACGTATTTGTTACCAGATACCTAATTAAATTGTTATAATTAATTACACATCAACGCTACGAAATTTGAACGGCACCATGACACCCGCGACCGTGCTGCCACCCTGAAAAAGTTGCGTATTTGACAATTTATTTTGCACGTTGCAAAAAGTGCAATTATATTTATACCTAAATGCTATTTAACCGAACGATATTCATTTTAGGGCAAATTTATCCATATTATAACTGAAACTATATGTCGTTTACAAGATATTACAATCCTTTTGCTTTTAAATTAATAAATAAGAAACACCCTCGGTCTGTAGCCCTTGGCTGAAAAGTGGTTTTGCGCAACTCATCACATCGTGCGCTTTGAGTGGCACCACCGTCTTTGTAATCAAGCTGTAGTCGTTAGTTTTAAAACGTTTTTTAATAATATTTCTAATGGTGATTGAACCATGAAACTTTTTATGTAGCGTAATTTTAACCTAAATTAACTGAAAATAACCCTAGCACCTATAGAGTAAACTCTCCCTTTAAGTACTTCCCTAAATAGAATATGGTACGCTTTTATGTTGACATGCCTGGTTTTTTGAGTGCACAAGATTTAGCATCTATACTATACTTTGTCTTTTAGTAAGCCTGAGATTCTTGTGGAGTGTTTAACACCAGACTTTGCTGGCAATTTAAAGCTTGTTGACATCGTGGCGAACTCGGGCCTTGATGTTTACGCACACAATATTGAGACAGTAGAGAGACTGACACCGTAAGTCCTCTACACCATGTGTTTGTGTTATCTTTTATAAATATGTAAATATGTTTACATGTTACCATAAGATTAGACAGCTAATTTATCCAATTCTTTAACATCTTCAAAATGATTTGGTATAGAGTAGGGCTTGCTATCATTTTGGTAACTTTCAGGCTTCAATTACTACTAGAATAACAAAAAAAAACAATATGTTAAAATATAAAATCACTTGTAAAATAATGTTGCTAAATCACAGGAACGTACAAATTTCTATGGACAAGTTATGCTCTTATAGCTTAAAATGTCAATTGAGCAGAATATGTGTGATTAAGCTATTTCAAGGACCTTCAAGGACCCACCTAAAGCTAGCAGCACACTTCACCATTTTCGTTGCTCGTACAGGCAATTATCGTGGTCGGCAATTTTTGTGGCCGTTGCCGCCTCACAGCACACTTCACCACAAGTTGCCACCACGAGCAATTTTCGTGGTAAGAAATCAAACCGGTTTGATTCTCGGCAACTCGTGGTCACCACTAAATTTCCGTGGTGAGTGGTCGTTGCCGGCCTCCGGACACTTGGCCATTTTTGTGGCGACCACGAAAATTGCCTGTACGAGTAACGAAAATGGTGAAGTGTGCTGCCCGCTTAAGCTGGATATATTAGCATGTGCAGCCATGTGCACACTTTCGATGTTAGTTTAAAGTATCTATTGCTACCCAAGGAAGAAGGCAAGTCGAGATTCAAGCGCGAATAAAGTTTTATGCAATTGCTTATCACTGTGGTTTTGATATGTCCCGCTACTGTATGATCACATTTGTATGGATTGCACATTGAGAATGTTTACGTTGCTGTTGCGTGTGTTGTAGATTTGTTAGAGATCCCAGAGCGAAATACAAACAATCAATGGCTGTGTTGAGGCACGTGAAAGAAAGCGATTCCAATATGATTACAAAGACATCCATAATGCTGGGGCTAGGAGAAAGTGACAAGGAGGTGTCACAGACAATGATGGGTACGTCAGCAATATTCGTTTAATTAACCAGATGCCATATAAACACGTAATTTGATGTTTACATTGTATCTGATTTAACTTAATTTTCAATAAACATAAAAATGCAGCACATTGCTATGAGAACACTTTTACAAGAAATATTGATGATAACTGTAGGTACATTGCAATAGGCTTATGCGTTCACAAGCTTTATATATTCATATCTAACATGTCTAATGGTCTTTATTATGTTCTCCAGTAATTCTTGCATTACTTTCTCAGATCTTCGTGATGCTGGTGTTGACTGTCTCACTCTAGGACAGTACATGCAACCTACTAAACGCCACCTAAAGGTATTATTATTATTATTATTAAATCTTTATTGCATATACCTAAAACACAAGGACATGTATTGAATATTTTTCCCATCGAGAGAAAATCTGATAGATGCAATAGTGTAAAGCTGCTTACATACTATAATTTTCAAGTAATACAATACAATGCTATATAATATGAAACAAAATCTAATATTATCATATAGTATTTAGAGATATGAGGGTAAGAGTTATTGACTGAGTATGGTTATAAAAGATATTAAATTAGTATAGTACTGAATATCTCACGCAGAGTATGTGAGTATGTCAGAAGTAGTGATATGTCTTTTCTAATATTAGGTTACTAGAGGTAAATATTTATGTATGTAAAATCATTTGCCACATTACGAGCTCCTGTATAATAAAAAACGATCTGATCCACCGTTATAATAACTGATAAGCATGCTGTCTTTTATCCTACTAGGTGCAAGAGTATGTTACACCGCAGAAGTTTGAATATTGGGCGGACGTTGGTGATAAGATGGGGTTTGCCTACACTGCTAGTGGGCCACTAGTCAGGTCATCATACAGAGCAGGTGAGTATTACCACATATATGCTATATTAGTGCATCACGTGATAAATCGTTGAAATTCCATTGGATAACGTCGCAGGTACTATGAAGCAATAGTGCCCGCCTGAGCGGGCACTATTGCTTGCGCGACGCATTGTTATTATAACGCATTGTGTTTACGTCACGAATCTCCTTCGTCTGGGCGCCACGCAAGAGTTTTCGAATTAATGGCGATTGTGTTTGTGTTGAGCGTTTTGTTACATCGAATGCACCGGCAAATTAGGGAGTATAAAGAAGGTATATAAGCATGAAAAGTAAACAGAAACACTAATTGTATTTTCATACATTTTATTTTGTACAAATAACACACAAATATACTACTTGCTGGTGCTAGAAATTCGTGACGTAGATAGTTTAATACAAATTGAAATTGTTCGTTTAAGAAATTTTGTCTTATTCACTTCATATTTGCCAAGTAGATTGCAAAGTCATGTGATGCACTAAAAACATTAATACCTGTTTTTGGGGGCACTATGCTGTCATAGTATTGCTTTGGGAAGGAATAGTGAACACATGTACACTATAAACATGCAAGGGCATTTGGGTGCTGCACAGATGCCCATTTCAAAACCTTTGTGAAACTAAAAATGTCCATGCTATAATAGTATACACATCTATGTGTGTAATCTTTAACTGTAAACTCGTGAGTGAATTAAAACAAATTTCTTTTTATTTACTCCTGGTAAAAAGTTTATCTCTATTGCAATTACAAATCTATTTGGTATATTTAATTATTCATAGTATTAGTTATTTTATTAATATTTCATTGAAGCGAATTGACAAATAGTCAATGGTTTGCAAATTGCACATTGCAGGGGAATTTTACATCAAAAACCTAATCGAGGGAAGAAAGAAGGCCCCATTACCAGAAGCACCAGCCAAGTAAAGCAGTCCGATTGGTTGCCATGATTTATGATGTATGTAAATGCAGAACAATAGCAGAGCATCATTGCAGAGTAAGTGAAAGAAAAGCGAATGCTGGCTGCTACGTTCGTAGAATTTTAGACTACAAAACAGTTTGTTTATAATGATTGTTTTTAAACCTGTTGAAATAAGATTACTTATAAGTTTGTTATATAAATAGTTACTTGGCGAATATGTCAATTTCATTTGAAACCTCTAACCTGGTATTGTGCCAAATTTATTAACTAATGGGAATGACACAAGAAATCGTTAAATCATAATCCTATTGGGATAACAAGGTATTATGTGGCAATTACACTTCTGCATGCTTAAAATAGTGAAGTAAATGATAATATAATAAGAGAACAAGTTAATAATGTATAATATGAGTATTGATATAATAAGAGTGTTGTTGTTACCAGAATATGCAAGTCTAATAACATACATTAACCAATTCTATTTCACATCTAAGCCCCAGATCATGACTTGTTTTTATTTTTCATACGTTCAGTACATTATACATCAACCGTCAATAGCAACGGATCAATATCATTGGTTGGTGCCTAAAGGTGATTTGCTGGGTGTTGCTGGCAAAATACAGCTTCACATTGGGAAAATAAGTATACTTTGCTGTACTCCTGTTATATTTCCAAGAGTGAATTGTTAACCATCCAACGTCACGTCCAATAAAATACAGATGCAATTTCACATGGCTTTGTTCTTTATAGCAATTCATATTCCAAGCAAATGCATTAACAGGTGTCCAAACCGACCAGAACATATGGTGGGCTGTATTATAATAAATACATGGCAATAAGTCGAATAATTGAGGGTAAGTAATGTCAGTGCAAAGAAGTTAAAATGCCATTACTATGAATATCTAACAAGTAGAGCAAATGGAACATGCATCTACAAAATATTATTACCAACAACCAACAGTGTATACTATAACATATTAAATTTAGGGAATTGAGGAATGTTGAAAATAAGAATTTCTCAAACGCCAAATTTACCAGGGAGCATGCACCTGATTTTTTAAAGGTAAACAACATCTTGTAGAATTACTTTCATTATTTACCGAAGCATAGATATACAGTTCTAAGATGGATTCTATCAGGGGTTAATAAAGACAAATAAAGACAAATTTGTCATTATTAACCCCTGATTCAATGAAACTGATGACTTGATCCTGCTTCTCAACACACTGGAATCATTGACAAATATTTCGAGAGGCACTACATGTTCCATTGCACCTTTCTAGTAGGAAACCTCACCCACGTTAGTAACTACTATGGTATCATTATAGTACTGTGATTTTCACGGCAGGGGTCACGCGACGCAAGCCAACCATAATGCGTGTATGGAATATTACACAATATAGCCTAAACAAAATAAAATTCCTCCAACACGTTCCACCTGACGCGCAGCCAACATGCCGCAAACTCTGGGAACTTCGTGCATATTCATTTCTTTTAATATAATAGAAAAATAACATTAAAATCTCGTGTTTTCATCTCCCACTTTCCTGGATCTTCTCTTAATACCTAAATCTTATTTTTTTTACCAAGTTTGGTATAGTCACATCGAGTCTGTCCTCTGAATTACTGATTGTAATTGACACGTATATGCACATATCATATATAGACATACAAACAGTGACATCTACCACTACAATCACACTACATAAATAATATAAGCTAATAAACAGTACATTTATAGACAGTAGATCATTTTTGACTAATTATCGTGTATTCCTACAACTAGGGAACACACGTTTTAAATTAACTATAATAATTTATTTCCAACAACAGAATTTAAATAGTACACACATGCATTAGGCCACGTATTGCAATTTAATAAGCAAACGAGAGACGTTCTTTCTCAAGTGTGCGTGGTAGTCTCTAGCAGTTGTATTGGGGGTTGGGGCAATGGGCGGGAGTAGGCAATGACATACACACCACTCCTCTATACGGTGGTAATAAATATCTTTCTTAAATAAAAATCTAAGCTCTACAAGCGACACGTGAACCAAGTAAGACAAAGTACGATTGCCTTTCAGTCTGAACACTCATAAATATATACATCTTCCATTTTACATTTTACAATATCAAGAAATATGTGCATTGTCTTATAACAAGGATAATTCTTTTAACATTGGTATAATCACTGGCTTCCTCTTTTGTAACACAGGTTTCGCCTACCTACTTACATACACCTGGGGATATAACATCTTACATCTTCACATACACAGTAATGCTTACTCTAAGGCCATCACACTTGAGAAGCGCATTCAACGTAACACTACACGGCTACCGATTAAACTACGTTTCCAACTGTAGTAACGTTACAATGACCAGTCAAGCTACGTTGGCAATAGTATAAGGTGTTTGACTATTACACTACACAGCTACCAGACAAGCTACATTGGCAATAGTATAAGGTGTTTGACTATTACACTACACAGCTACCAGACAAGCTACGTTGGCAATAGTATAAGGTGTTTGACTATTACACTACACAGCTACCAGACAAGCTACGTTGGCAATAGTATAAGGTGTTTGACTATTACACTACACAGCTACCAGACAAGCTACGTTGGCAATAGTATAAGGTGTTTGACTATTACAACACACAGTTACCAGTCAAGTGACGTTTCCAACCGTATAAGGTCTGACTATTACAACACACAGTTACCAGTCAAGTGACGTTTCCAATAGTATAAGGTCTTTGACTATTACAACACACAGTTACGCTCATACGGTCTATGTCCCCCAGGGTACTGCCGGAACGTACCCTGGTAACTATCTGATATGCCGGACCGAACCTCGCCTACTCCACTAACGAGTCTAGGGAGTCGCCTACGCCTACTCCCTAACCCTAACCC